AATTAAGGTATGATGTTTTAAATTTCAAAAATCAGGTTTTTATTTAAATTTATTTATGAATTACTTAATTAATTATATATTTTATTAATAAATATATAACGGTCACAGATCCATACAATTTGGTCACAATTCAAAAATTTAAGGTCACAATTCATTCATCGGTCACAAATAAAAAATTTAAAAGTCACAATTGTTTCATCGGTCACAAATCATAAAATTTTTAAGTCACACACCTTATTTTATGGTCACAAAACATCGAATTATAGGTCACAAACAACTTTTATTGGTCACAATTGATAATTTTTTGTGAGTCACATAGTCTTTCTTAGTCACAATTTCTTATTATTGGTCACACACCAATAAATTTATTGGTCACAATTTGTGACCACCACCAACACAAAACCACCGTCGTCAACACCAACACCACCACATCCAGCAACAAAATCCCCGTTCCAAACATCTCTGTCGACGTTTTCACCACCACCACCACTACACACCAAACCGTCCCACCACCACCTTCACTGCGCCGCCGCACCTGATCCACCGCAACTGAAAACACAGCCCACTATCGTCCCCTACCAGACCACGGTGGTGCAGATCTCCTGACCACAACACAAGAAAAAACCCAATCACCGCACACTCCGCCTTCACCCCGCAACCACAGAAACATCAACACCGCCCAACTCCGAAGACCAGTTAAAAAAAAAAAGCAACACAGCAGCACCGTACGCACACGCACACCCCACCTTCACAAACGCCCAATCGCAACCGCCACAGCACTCACAGACACATTTCACCGCACCCACCGCAAACACAACCTCCACCACTCCGCTCAATTTGAAAAAAAGAAAAAAAAAAGAGAAAGACGATGGATCTGCGAAAAGAGGCAGAGGCGGCGGATCGATTGGAAATAGACCATGGTTGGCAGTGGAAATGTTAATGGCTTCCGCGACATGGTTGGCGGTTGGATCGGTGAAGATGCCGGCGGAAAACGATGGCAGCGGTGAGGCAAAAGGGAGGTCGGAGGTAGAGAGAGAGAGAGAGGACGGGGAGGGGAAAATGGGGGGAGGGGAGAATGAATTTTAGTGTTGATTTTTTTTTAATTGGGGAAAATAATATAATTAATATTAAATTAAATATTAAAACCTGATTTTTGAAAAATAAAACTTGTGATAGGATTTTTGAAAGTGGAAATCTAAAAGCAGAGTAGGGTGTAATTTCCTCTAGGATATAAAGAGTAATGTTATTTATCTGATGATGGAAGATCGATGATATGACAACCCATTATTTTTCACATTTCTCTTTCTCTCTCCTCCCACTTTCTCTTATAAAAATTGAACTGTCAAATCTCATAATTCCACAGAGACAGCAACATCACCGATATTCCATCATGATAAAGATAAATAGCATTATTCAAATATGACTAGTGGAAATTATAAGGACTAAGTGTTTTCAAGATCTCAATTTATAATTAAGAGTTACAAGTTTTTTTTCTTTAAAAAATCAGATATAATTAAAATTCTAAATATTAATAAATCCACCTCACTACCATCTACCACTTCTTTCTTCCTATATACCATACTGGTGCCACCATACCACTTGCCCATGGTCGATGCGGCGCCACTATCCTTTGTGATCATTTGAGAATGGCGTCCCACGTAGCACGATCTGAGAGTGTGACTTCATTCTTGTGTTCAAAGCTCAAAGAGTGACAGTGTCATCTCCAGCAACACGACACAGTAGCGATGGCTCTGATTAGATCCAACATCGAAGACGGTAGGTTCATACAACGGTGGGTTTATATAGTGCAGTGTTGTGATAATTTTGCGGTTTGCTGTGATGTGTGTGATGTTGTGGGTGTTGTGTGTGGTGTTTTTGTGGTTATTGGTATGTGATGATGTGGTTGGTGGTTGCAATGCAATGTGGTTCGTTGGTTGTAGTTTGTGTTGATGAGATTTTTTCGTTGTTACAATGTATGGTGATTGCGGTTGGGAGGTAAAGCGTTCGTGACCAATTATTTGACTGATTGTAACAAATAAATTGGTTAATTTATAACCAATAAAGAATATATTACCTAAAATATGTGATTGTGACTCGCAATTTATTAACTTTTGACCAAATAATTTGATAATTTGTAACTGATAAATAAATTGTAACCTATAATTTTTTTGAATTGTGATCAAGAAATAATTTGTGACCAATTAATTTAATAATTTGTAATCAATTAGTATAAAATTGTGACATTAATACATTTAATAACATCTTATTTTTGAAATTCTAAACCTTGCTTCTTAATTTTGAAATGAATCATAGTTAATCTCATAGATATAAAATTTTTCCATAGGAATACGATAAATAATGCTACACAAGCAAAATCGAACAATTGAATTTGACCGAGAGTTTCTCACTGCACAAAAGAACACACACACATAGCCACTATATTCCATTTTTTTTTTTTTTTAATTTTTGGCCCCCAGAACACATCTCCAAGTGGTAAAAGGAGAAGGTGGAAAAACTACAGTTTTGCTTGAGGCTGCCGCGTCAAGGGTTCGAATCCTGAAATATGGATTTGACCATTGGATAAGTGCAAATGTACAAACAGTATTCCACCATGTACCATTGGAGGCATAACCTGCGATTTACCTTCTTCATCAAGACCCATGACAAGGGAGGGCAGGTGAGGACCGTCAAGGATGCGGCTCATCCTTTTTTTTTTTTTATATTCTAAACTCTTCCAGTTCTTACTTAATTTCAGACGGTACAAAGTAGTTGTAGATTTGAGTGATATGGAGCAAGATCTAAGTAGAAACATGAGTATGCTCTGCAGTTACACCGCATCAGTGCTCTGCAGTTGCACCTTCATGGTGAACTTCTGCATCAGAAAGTGCTCTACTGACTGTATGATCCGTCTGGGGTTACAGTGATTCACAGCAAAATTCGAAAGTCAGGCCCTTCGTTGAAGCCTATTGAGGCGTTGTTTGGGCTAGAATACCATAACTTGCTGTAGGTTGTTGTCACTCCGCCATTTTGGTATCAGAGCTAAGTAATATGGCACCAACATTTACATTATCTTACGTACATGCTCGTTGGAATACAAATTTCTTAACAATAAAGAATTGTACAGAATTATTCACGTCAATAGATGACATATGAAAGAAAGATGGTGTAGCTCTTGCATCATAAAAGAAAGGCGAAGGTTATATTAAAATTTGTATTTACAGATACATTATTCTAAACCAGAGCCCAAAGTCAGGCAGATTAAGTGAAATTAGCAACATGAACAAGCAGCTATTTGGGCAAATTACCACATTATGCAGAAGCGAATAGAAATTTATGAATATTCAGTGCAGTGTAAGAACATTTGAATCATAAGAAAGCTCAGGTGCCATGTAATGCATGAAAATAATCAAGAAAAAATTGGACCTGATGTTTGACATGTACATATAATATACATGGAAGAATACGCACTTTTTAGTGTCAAGAAAATTACATAGTCAATAGATGGATCCTTAACTTGAGGTTCCTGAGACAAATTCCATTTCGTTCCTTCTCGAAACCCATTACAGTCAAGCTTGCCAAACCAAAAAAGATTATAACTGTAAGTCTGTAAAGAAATAGTGCAAGGGCTGCTACATTGTCTGAGATGACCGTGGAGAATAACTGGATAAGAAATTGCAGGACTCCGGAAGCTAAAATAACAATTACTATTTGTCCAGTTGCACAAAATTTTGAGTGAAAAAAGGGAATGGCTTGGACCAGTGAAGTAAGGGCAGCTTTCAAGAAGTTACTTTTTCAGCCATGGATGACCTCTTGTAATAATCTCACTAGCAACCATCTGCTGTAAATTGGTTCATAAAACAAAGTGCTCACAAATATAATTCAACTGGCAAATATTCATTACACATAAATGCATGAATTGATCTTAAAATTGGCCACCGAGTTTAGAGATAAGTCATAAAATCCCTCTCAAGTGTTTCTGATAATAACAACCAACTGAATAGCTGCAGAATAGTAACAGAGATTCGACAAGAACATTTATTTGTCAAGGACATTCTTTAAACAATTCTAATAGTAATATAAGTTTCCCTATTGCTGCACTTCTATTCTCAAAATGTTAGGTTGGACGTGCCTAGAAAGAACTAATGAGGGTAGTTGTAGGCTGACAGAATGCAAAACTTTATCAAATCTTAAAACATTAATCTAACAAATACTGTGAATTGATGTGCATTAATTCAGGATAGTATATTGAGGAAAGCCAAAATTTTCACAGGCACATGTAATATAAAACTTAAAGGAACACCGAGTATGATTGGCTGCCAGAAGAGTTTTACAAAGCTCACCAGCACATGGAAACACAATATGCTGATGGGCATCAAGACAATAGTAACAATACACGACGCGTGCTTTAGAATGTACAGTGCAAAATTCAGACAATGGTAACCTGTGTAGCTGAATACGTTGGATCCACAACTCATGCATAGTTACTGCAGATGGCCAGTCTCACACATTTTCTTATTTCTAAAATAAAGTATCGAACGAGTCTTGATAAACGTCTTAAGGGATTATTAGTGCTAAAATAGCAAAACTCCAGTACTCTTTGAATCTGTGCATATGCACGCAAATGTAAATGCACGAGTCAGTGATCATTTTGAACAGCAGACAGAGTCTGTGAAAAACAATTATCAGAAGTATGAAACTTTAAAACTCACCTAAATTTCTTATCATTGATAACAGACAAAAAATTTACATCTTCTTCAATCAGCTATATGACTGGCCATTCAAACTTGATCCACATTGCAGTGGAAGAAAAAATAGAGTACAAATATACAATTATTATTAAAAGTCAATAAAATAATAGTTCTTAAATTGGCAATTTGTATGGATCTCGATTCAAAGCATAACACTTCAATATGCAGTTCTGCAGAAACTTACCAGAATTGCTTTTTGTCTCCTCCTAGCAATTCAATTTGTTTGCGCAAATGCATTTTTTAAGTCAATTGTCATCTATTAACCCCCAGAACCCCTTCTCTTTCAATAACAAATTCGCACGAACAATCTGGCAAATGTGGAGCAAAAATAACCCGAATGAACCTCCTTGCCTTAATATCCCCAATGTCACCGCCTTCCTCTTCAACTCTCTCCTCTTCTCTCCATAAAAACAACCTTATATTCACACAATTCGCCCATGACAAACCCAAAGCCGGGCAAACTCTCCTCCCAGACGAGCACAAAAATCCTGAATTCCCAATCCTCAAATTACCCGAAGACTCAATCACATCCACTACTTGGTTAGTCACCACAACAGCCAGCCCAAATTTTTGAGCTTGGTATTTTAATTTTGAAGATATCTTAAAAAACAAGCTCGATCTCCGCTTTAATTCAAGTGGGGTGTTATCAAACTCTGAGCGGAACAATGCTGCTATAGAATCAATAACAATTAACCTAATATTCAATCGGGAAATAATGGAATCTAGGCGGGACAAAAGGTCGAGCAGGTGGTCGGGGGATTGGAGGGGTTGGATAAAAATACGGTCTAGAGGATTATTAGGAATATGGGACTGATAAAATAGCGAGAGTTGGTGCAGGCGGCGGACGGGGAAGGGAAATTCAGAGTGCAGGCAAAGGGATGAAGCAGAGAGGCCTCCACGTGCGGCGGGGAGTTGGGCGGCTAGGAGGAGCTGGAGGGAGAATTGGGTTTTCCCAACGCCGCTCTCGGCGGCGATTTCGGTTATGGTGCCGCAAGGGATGCCTCCATGGAGAAGGCGGTCAAGAAGGGGGCAGTTAAGGGTCAATTTTGAGGTTTGGGTGGGGAGTGGGTGGCGGAGGAGGTCTTCTGGTTTCATTTTGTGGGGTTGTTGCCAAACTGTGAAAATTTGAATATGAATCAGTGAGGAAGAAAGGCGCCAAACTAGTTCTTTATTTTTCTTCCATTTGAGCCACAAAAATACTTTCTTTTAAACATAGGGCGTGTTTGGATGGCTTCTGCAAAGCTCAAAAGTACTTTTGGAGGCAAAAGTTGTTTTTGTTAAAATAATGAATATTTGGTTAATTGAAAATTAAAAGAAGGGAAAATTACACAAAACCCTACCTTTGAAGATCCAAATTCAAAAATCAGGGGTGAAGGTTCGATTGTTCAAAAATCAGGTATTTAATATTTAAATATTAAATATTATATATACAAATTTCACCCCAAAACCCTAAAATCATTTACCACTCTCATCTCCCTCTTTCTCTCTCTTCCCGCCTCCTTTTTCTCTCTCTCATCTCCGGTCTCCGTCGACGAAGACCACTGCGATGCCTCCTCTCTCTCTCTATCGTCTCCGTCGACTCCTCACTGCGAAGAACACCAACCTCATTGTGATGCCTCACTGTGCGGTGGTTGAATTTGTGATGGTCGAATTGGTCCAATCTACAACGCCGATCTGCCAGAGTCTACAATTTTTTTTTTTATGCAATCTACTGTGTGGTGGTCAGCAGTGGTGGTGGTGACAATGAGGTGGTGCAAACTTTGGTTTTTGTTTCTGTTGGTGAGGTTGGAGTTGGCTGCGGTGGTGAGGTTGTGGTGACGTCGGTTTTGAAGGGGGGGTTAGGTGGTGGTGGTTGGTGGTCAGGTGGTGGTTGTTGTGCAGGTTTTTGTGGTGTTGACGGTTTCGGTGGCAGTTTGACTGTGGATCTTGGTGGTGAGGTTCCGGCGACGTCGATTTTTGGGGGGGGGGAGGTTTAGGTGGTGGTAGTTGATGGTGCAGGCGATGGTTGTTGTGCAGGTTTTTGTAGTGTTGACAGTTTCGGTGGCAGTTTGACTGTAGATCGTCGGAGGTGTCGATGGTGCGGTGGTGTGGCGATAATCTGTGACCAAATGTCACAAATATTTGGTCATCTGTGACCTAACATTTGGTAATCTGTGACCAAATGTTTGGTAATCTGTGACCAATTACTCAACTGTGACCTAAAAATTTAATAATACGTGACTCAAAATAATCTGTGACCTCAAAATAATTCGTGACGTAAAATTTTTTTGATCTGTGACCTCGAAATAATATGTGAACAAAAATTTTGACGATATGTGACCAATAAATAAATTTGCAACTTATAATTATGAATCTGTGACCATTATACACATAATGTGACTTTATTATCTTTATTTAATAAATATTTTTAATTAATTAAATCAATATCTGATTTTTGTGACTTTATTATCTTTATTTAATCAATATTTTTAATTAATTAAATCCATACATGATTTTTGAATTTTTAAACTATTTACCTTATTTTTGAATTGAAGTAAAGAATACGCCTTAAATATGAATTTTTCCCTTAAAAGAATGAATCGGTTTTAACTAGGCCTCCAAATATCAGCCCAAAGGCCTATTTATTTTCAGTCCATTGGGCCAAACTCCCGAGGCCCTAAAATCACCAGAATCCAGATGTATTCAGCCTCTTAGGCTCTTAGCGCGCAATCCTACGGAGACAAGTGGACTTGACCATTTTTCATTCACGAACTTAAACTCCCTTTGCAATCTTATGTACATCTTTTATATAAAATAAAATGAGTTGAGTCGACTAATACTTGAGTCGCAATTTGTTTAGAGATAATTGTTTAATAATTAATTTTCTAGCTCCGTAATTTTGAAAAATGTGAACATGCATAAATAAAAGAGACGTGCTTGTTGTACCGGGTGGGGGTTGGCCGAACCCTCACGGACACCTCACAATAGTGGGGGTGGGTGGGATTTTTTTGGGACATTTTTTATTAACATGGGGCCCATGGATGTGAGTGTATGTAACACTTCGGTAAAGCCAATTCCGATACAATTGGCTTTGCTGTAAATAAAATAGTGAGTTATATATATTAAGGCTCTATAACGAAACTCAATTCACTGTCACTTATGTCGATAATAATAAATAATAAATATTTATTTTATGATATGTCACTTTTTATGTACTAGGCAGGTAGGCGTTGAATGTTCCTTTCAATGATTTCCTCACCCACAAGTTAGAACAATAATTTCCTCAAAACATTTTGAGAAATTTTTTTAGAGAAATCTCTCATATAGTTTTTAACTAAGGTTATAGAGTTTCTTCAAAATTTATTTTATAAATTTTATGAAAGTTAAAAATAATTTATTTATTTTAAAAAGGCTCCATCGTTTCTTAAAAGCTATAGAGAAGATGGGTTTGAATCGGTCATGATTGATGTTAAAGACTATGTAAAAAAATTATATTTAAAGACCTCATAATAATTTGTCGTTTAGGATCTCAAAATTCTCAGGACCGACCTTGTGCACTCCATAGTACTCAACATGTGAGTTGACTACGTAATTTAGGACACTATAAATATTACTTTTTCAGCATTATAACAAACCTGATAATATTTATTCAGAAACCAAACTTGCAACTATGTGACCAGAGTGAGTTTGTGAGTTTGTTATTATCACTAAGGTTAGGTATTGGTTCCATGAAATTAAGAAAATTGGTTGAGTCAATTTTCTTAATTAGGTTTGAATTTAGTACGGAAAATATTCAAATCTTGAAGTTATTCGGTGGTTTAATGCTCTATTAGATTGATAACCGACGGCGTCAATAATTGACAATTACACAATTCGAACAATTTCAAATTCATCTCAAATAAAAAATGTAAAAAATCCTTGATTCAAAAACCATTCCATTGTTTTTTGATCCAAAAGAATGAGGTTTTTTGGCAAATAGAGGCAAGCTCCAGCGACTGAAAGTTCGTCGACTTCCTATCTTTTTTATGATAGAAGTAACTGATGATATCGTCGGAATGCCTGTATGCCTAATCTATGCAGAGATGGTGCTCTATTTAGCTACATGATGCCCCTACATAACTTCATGAAATATTTCCCATACAATCGATTCTTTTTCCCGAATTTTACTCTTAGTAACTCCTATGTTCGAAACAAGATGTTGTCTAATCAGACCACGAATTACAAATGTCTGGAAAAGCTCTATTGCTATTTTGTGCGGCAATCCACATCGATGTAATGAAAGTGAATGACTTACAACAATCACGGAACGACCTAAATAATCAACCAATTTCCCCAGCAGAGTCTCACGAAATCTTCCCTCTCTGCTTTCGATTACATCTGAAAATGATTTGTAAACTTTATTATGACCATTATCAAGAAGTGTATCCATAGATTCTTGTACTAATTTCTCCCGCGTTGAGTATTGTCCAACAAATTGTTTATCAATGACCGAAAAATATAAACTTTCTACTTATAATAGTCAATTAAAGATAAATTAACATCCGTTTATGTTAATTTCAGAAATGAAAAAAAAAGTTAATGAAAAAAGCAAAATGCAAAGAAAATTCAGCATAGACACTCTTTATTGAAAAATACTATTTATCACCGGTAAAGTGCAAGTAAAATCTTATCCCCAGATTATTTCACTACAATTTTCGAAAATCATTGATCGAAGAATGTTTACTGACAATTTCCTGAGTTTTCTTTCAATGTCGTACTTTTTGAATGTAACCCACATCTCATGTGGTGATAAATGCCTTAATAATTCGTATATGTCAACATCTAATGGAGTTACGTCGAATTGGCCATTATTTCCACGAATAGAATGACCAATTGGGTAATTTCAATTAACTTTAGTGAATAAACGAGTCAAAAAAATATATTAAATACCAAAAATATAACATTAATTAACTTTAAAGTGTACGACATTGGTTGACAATTTTATTTTATTTTTTTGACGTAGGAACCCGCAATCTCTACCCTTCAACGGAGACAGATCACTGTGAATGCAAAGAAGGTAAATCACGCTCCATGTGCAGTAATCCACAAACGACACATGAGAGGTAAACCACACTAAACAAATCCAGTGCAACGGACTCGACCAAAGATGGTTGACAATATTTTATTCACATGGAGGAGAGTCCCACCAATATTATGCCAGAATGCAGCTCAACAAACCTGCACAGCTTTAATTGTCGTAACAAGTGCAACGGGCTCAATCAAGGATGGTTGACAATATTTTATTCTGGAGGAGAGTCCCACCAATATAATGCCAGAATGCAGCTCAACAAACTTTGGCACAGCTTTAATTGTCGTAACAAGAAAAAGAAGTTTTAGGAGCACGTTTGGATAAAGATTAAAAAGACAAAAGTAGCTTTTCAACTTTTGTTAAATAGCTATTTAATTGACAAGGTTGAAACTTTCTTATTCTCAACTTCTTAACCTTAACCAAACATGCTTATTGAAGTCCAATACAGTTGCCGCCAGTCTAATTTCCCATTATTCACCCCCTTAAAAGAACAAAATTACTCTTCAATACCGGTCAAGCTCCTGCTAGGCTGCTAGCTCAATGAGTAAAGGGGCAAAGTTGTAACTTTAACTCAATGAGTATGCTACTCAGCCTACGTGGCAGAAACTTGCCTACTTTACAGGGCGAATTGCACTTTTGATCCCTGACCTATTGTACTAGTAGCAAATTGCTCTCTACCCTTCCATTTTAGTTGTACAATCGGATTCCAATGACGAGACCATCCAAATTTTCTGTTAACTGTCGCACGGACTGCACAATTTTGATAAACATTTTGAATTATTTTTTACTTATTGTGTAACTATAATTAAAAAAAGAATTCCTAAAGGACATAATTGTAATTTTACTTGTAAAGTATGAGTACTAAGTAAATTCAATGTATAGGATTTGAGGCTTTTAATATATTTCGTGTCAAGCAATCCGAAGGATCCTTCATTTATTGTGTTAGGTATCAAGGACGCCACTTGAACCCTAAGTTCGTCTCTCTACAGATGAAACGCGAATATTTTCTAATTTATTTGGTCTCGTTTATGAAAGTTCAAGACTAATATGCTATTGTGACAGTATGATGAGGACCCAAATTGAAATTTTGACTTAATTTATGTTGCATTTTAGAAACCAAGATTCCATTTGGAGATTGCAGACGGGAAGTGCATGATGAGAGACATGAGTCACCCTCTCCTCTCCTGGTTTTAGAGTGAGAGACTAATACAATACTATTAATAGACAGAAATCTGTACCTATCTATATCTACCAATGCATATGCAAGTGCTTATCTGTGTGTGATAAAAAAGAGGGAAGAAAGAAAAAAAAATTGCATAGGGATTTTCTCATTTTCATCGAAAATTTCGTCACCGGACCCCCCGAAGATTTGAAAAATTAAAAAATACCATTGTTGTTTCCGTCTCTTCTTCTTCTTCATTTTTTTTCCCCATAATTCAATTCAAATTGAATTACTTGTTTAGAGATCCCACCCTGTTTATCTGCCAATAGAAATGGCAAATGCATCTGGGCTGTATACAGCAACGCTGCCTACTGTGAGGAGGAGATTTACTCCATCTATAGGCATTTATCGACCTGGGTGTTGGTTTTCTGAGGGTGTCTCCAAGAGAATACTGTGTTCCAGCATTGTCCAAGGTGCAGATAAGCTCTCCCCTTCTGAATCTAGAGTACCCAGGTAACTAGTTCTTTGCGTAACTTTAATCTTTGCCCAGTGACGAGGTTTTATTGGTGTCGATTTAAAAATTCGAAGATTTTGAGTTTTTGGATTAGGATTCGATTTGGATTACTTACAATAGGGAAATTATCGAGGTTTTGTAATCGAAGTGTTTGCAGTTACGTCAACGTCATTGAAAACTACTGGANGGGGGGGGGTTACTACTCTTGCATGTCACTTGGTAACTGAACCATTTTATGGGCTTTTATTGGACAATCGACATTTTCAGCTGTATAATAGAAGGTTGTTGTAGGGAAAAAAAATATTATTTGGATTGGAGCTTGACAATCCATTTGCCTTAACTGTCATCAGTAATGTTATAATGAATTGATCTTCATCACTAGGCCGATAGATGTGCTGGCATTGGCATTGGCATTGGGAATTATCATCTTCGTGATGCATGAGTGAATTATGTCAGATAAGTAGTTTCTCAACTTGCACGGGGTGGTGAAGAGAATTAGCTCATGTTATAGTCATAGGGTTGCTTGGAATTGTTGTTTATTCTTATGGTTGTATTGAAATTACCAGCCAAGGTGAACTGGATTCACAGGTTTAAGCATTATAAGCTTCAGACATTCCTTATATGAGCTGGTGTGAGCATGAATTGAATGAGGTCCCTTAACAAGTGTATTCTGTTACTGAGCGATGGTTTTATTATAAGATGTATTTTTTGCCTTTGTTAGAATGCATTGAAGATTATCTATTTTCAACATCTCTCACAATTTTAACTAATTAACAAGAAAGTTGTACTTAAAAAATGCAAATTTTCGCAAGAGATATATGAGGTTTAAATTTTCATATTATAAAAATGATTTTATCTACAAATAAATATAGTGCCGTGAATTGCACTTTTATTAAAAAGAAGAATCTGTTTAGACGGGACATTCCTTTTCAAACATATGAAGTACTATTTATAGCATTGCATATTAAATAATTATGTACAAATATTATGATTATATGCACATTCGAGCATTTATCATGACTCAAGTCTATTAATATTGCATGTGCATGGTAAATTTGCCATCAGAAGTTAAGTCAATTGTTAAATTTTTTTAATGTTGCTACAGCAAATTTGGTTCTTGTTTTGATATCCTTGACTGATGACTCGTTTAAATGGTTCTGTTTGAAAAGATTTGCACCATTCGTATTAGTTTGCGGTTTTTCTATCATCATTACCCCTTTCAAAAACTAACTTTCCTGCATCATACTATTCATATCATGAAAATGAGGCAAATTAGTTTTCTTTCTCTTATAGGGTTGATGTCTCGTGTCATTCGATGGTTAATACTTTCATCTGCTTTCTAAGTTTCACATTAAATTTGTGCAGGCTTGTCAGCAGAGGCTGCAAGTTAGTTGGATGTGGTTCTGCTGTACCAGGTCTTCAGATTTCTAATGATGATCTATCAAAAATTGTTGATACTAATGATGAATGGATATCTGTTCGAACAGGAATTCGAAATAGAAGAGTACTTTCTGGTAAGCTTTTCCTTGCACTTGATGCTTGTTTGCTCTCGTCCTATGTGTAGTACTAGATCACTTAAATCTTGAGCATAAGTCCTACAAGTGGTTCTAGGTTACTTGAGAGTTTTGTGTGTACTTTCTAGTTTACTTACAAAAACTTGAGCAGAAGGGCCACATGCAGGAATTATTTAATGAAAACTGGTTGTAGTTTAGTTTACAATCAACCGTGTTATTGGTTTATATGTGAGTTATACATTCATGTTAGCAAGTTTTTGTATATTTGGGTTATAATACTTGTAAAATGATCACCTGGTAGCTTTGCCAATTTGGGGCTTTATTAAGGAAACTGTATATCTATAAATTCCGCGAGGCCTAAAGCGACTTTAATGTAGCTGCATTATACATTGATATGCCTAAGTAAAAGTTAGGGAGGTACTATCCTTCATCGTCAATTGCCATTTGGCAGTTATTTAAAGATATAGTTGATGAAAGACCAAGAAACTTAGCCATGAATAGTTGGTCGATTTGTTTGTTATAATATAAATTTTTTGCTAGAAACTCGAGTAACTAATGTAAAATATGTGAGTTATTCTGATTATTTGATTGATAAATTACTATTACCAAGATATACTTGTTATGATCCTTTTCCCCTTCTAAGTGGCCTGAGCTCAATAAAGTTTGAGCCTGCTTAGGCTCATGCTGTGTTTTTAAATGAGAATCAGTTTTTGTAACACCATTCAAGTTAAGCTACTCATAACTATGAGCACCAAACAACATTCAAGACAAGTAGCTGGGCTTCCTGAAACTTATCCTTCCTTCTTTACGGGTATTTATATATGTAAGAGTTCTATTTGATGTTAGGGTTCTTTATGTTGCGGGTTTAGGATTTTGGATAGCATGCAAGAGTGATATTCTAAGTATTCAAATACTACTTTGCTTTTATCTAACTCTCTCAGTTACAGGGAAAGATAGTTTGACAGCTCTGGCTACAGAGGCAGCGAAGAAAGCTCTCGAGATGGCAGAAGTTGATCCTGATGATGTGGACCTTATCTTGATGTGTACTTCAACTCCAGAGGACTTATTTGGCAGTGCACCGCAGGTGCACATTTGTAACCCATATTCTGAAATATCTTGATCTGAATTTTTTTCCTGGAGGCGATAGGGAGATAAGTATTCTAAAATAAACTTGTGAAAAAGTTGAAGGTAAAATATCCATAAACAATTTGCTTCTCCCTTTAGCAGCGAAAGTTTTTAGATGGGGTAGTTGAACATGGTATCAGAGCAAACAATACTTCTTTGTTCAAGTTTTATTACCATCCATTTATGAAAATTTGATTGTTAGGCATTTGATGAAAAGATTAATCTGACGGCATGCAGATGAAGAAGCGTGCTGAAGATAAAATATAAATAAATAAATTCCTTTTCCCCCTTAACGAGTAACGACAAAAAATTTTAATTCAGGTGGTTTCAGCGTCCTATAGACTAAAGGATATGAATCTCTTCAGTGCCGTTAATATGAATTGTACTGGGAAAAGTTGGTTGCATGGGATGGAGAAATCATAGCATTGAAATCTAATGTATGCTTTTGGCACAATTATATTGTGGCTCTGTCTCCATGTTAAAAATCAAGCGATGCATTTTTCATTTTATCAAGACGGGTATCTTTAAACTACAGCCTTACCCTTTTTGGCTGGTTTTCTACTTGTATTCTTCATTTTTTTGTCGAGTTTGTCAAGCATTATTATGACTCTTAGGGCTTAATTTGCTTCACATTTTTGCAATGGGCTCATACAATGTATAGGTTATTTTACTTATTTGCTTCTGGAATTTTCCCCAGGAGTATTATATGTTCCTGATAATTGTTTGATCTGCCAGATTCAAAAAGCACTTGGCTGCAAAAATAATCCATTGGCTTATGATATCACAGCTGCTTGCAGTGGGTTTGTGTTGGGATTAGTCTCAGCTGCTTGCTACATTAGAGGTAAAAATTCAGTACTCCGTAGTCCATGTCTAAGAGATCTCGACTGTATAATTTGCACTAGCTCCTGGATTCCAACAGTAGTGAGAATTGAAATCCTGTTGCTGTATATTGCAGGGGGTGGCTTTAAAAATGTTCTTGTAATCGGGGCTGATGCTCTTTCTCGCTACGTTGATTGGACGGATAGAGGATCTTGCATTCTCTTTGGTGATGCTGCTGGTGCCGTGTTGGTGCAGGTACTGGGTGCTATCTTTTTAGTGCCATTTGTTTCAGTTGGTTTTCCCAGTAAGGAAGGGATATTAAAAAGGAAAAAAAAAGAAGGGATATACTGCAGTAGTCATTGATTTGAAGCCAGTTCTTCATTTTTATGCATTCTGGGAGTTGATTCTTTCTCACTTTCTGCAGTGTTCTGATTTCGATATTAGTTTGAGTTATATATACATATTGAAATCCATTTCTCATTTGTATTCTCTGCATAGGCGCACTTGTGAATATGTGCATGCATAAGCACGAGTTATCCTTGTCAGAGAAGATGCACCTCTGCTCTCTGGATTGGTTTGGGTCCAAATTTATGAATAATGGAAACAACAATGGCTGAACTATAGAAAAGTATGAAATGTATGAATATTTAAAAGAAATTTCTTGAAACTTGAGGGTGTTGCCAATGCCCATGTACATGTGGAACATGGTCATGCTGGTAAACAGTTCTATAGCATATGCAGGCGATGGCACCGATTTTTGGACGTGTAACCAGAGAATCTCAAATGGACTATGAACTGAACCTTAAATACACTGTCTGTGCCCACCACTCAACAAATTTTAGCTAAGAAAACTGCATTTTTTTTTTTGCATCGATATGTTTACAATTTGTGGTCTACTATCAAGTTGTTGAATGGAGTTCGGCAAATGAGTAAATATAGCTATGGGATGTCTTGACCTGGACATGGTATTCTTCGTAGTCAATACATGCTGCTTTGGTCTAAATGATTATATAGAATGCAAGCCATGTGTTGCACACTGGAGATGTGAACTATCACTAGGGAGCACCCAAAAACAATGGGTTTTGTACTAGGTCCCCTGTCTTCCATTTCTAAACTGCTGAAGTTCTTTGGCATGTGGATGCTGGATCCATATGTGAATGTTATAATGTTTGTCTGGTTTATATGCCATTATGTACCATATGCATGTCTCTTGTGATATCCAGCACTTAAAATTTGCATCTTTAGATGTTTTTATACTTGTTGCATACTTTTTATCTATCTTTCTACATATGAATGAACTGTGGGGCAGTGTAAATAACCTTGAACTATATTTCTGTTTGCTTTGCGAGTTTGGTGTACTGGCATGTATATTTGAATAAAACTGAACATCCATTTGCTGAAAAAAAATGTAAGAAGTACCCATGTCTATGAATGGTTAACATAAGCCAGCAACTTGCATTTCTACCTTATTCTTCATAAAAAGTCACCGTATTACTCAGAAGGATAGTCAATTTTGCCAGAAAGTTATTTTATTTCTTCCATCAATGTGCAGGCATGTGATAGTGAGGATGATGGTTTATTTTCATTTGACTTGCACAGTGATGGTGAAGGGCAAAGGTATGTATCGGTTATCATTTACCAGTCATGTATTGTTGTCTACATTGATCAACAAAAAGTATCTGCCTTTTGCAGGCACTTAAGAGCCACCATCAAGGAAAATGAAGCGGATCATGTGCTGGGTACAAATGGTTCAGCTGTAGGATTTCCCCCAAAAAATTCCTCCTACTCCTGCATCCAAATGAATGGTAAAGAGGTCTTCCGCTTTGCTGTTCGTGTTGTTCCACAGTCTATAGAATATGCTTTAGAGAAGGCAGGTCTCACCGGGTCCAACATAGACTGGTTACTTCTTCATCAGGTATGAAACAGAGAGCATATAAGATTTCGATCATGAGACATTTATGGTATGTAAAGGTAGAATGCAATCTGTTTTTAATTTGTATTCAAGACAATGTATTATGGCTAAAGCTGCTAAACTTAAAAGTACTTAATAAGTAAATAAATTTTTATCGTTCTAAGTTGGCAATGAGCAAGTTATTTTGACAGCTTGGTAAGAGTTTCTTTCAAAACAAATAACCTTTTTTTTTAATAAGAAAAAGTAACTTGTGCATGCTTGGAATCAAAAGGATAATTTTGAGCATGGCCAACGTTCTGTCAATAATTTTCTTATCCTGTGATATTTATGTATAGTTGTGTTGATTGAAATTTAATTAGTGCTCTAGTCTAAGTGTGTTTTCCATCTCGCTTCTATTTCTGCTGTGCTTGAAAATGTAGAGAGATTCTATTATTTTTCATGTCCTTTTAGAGAGATTCTATTATTTTTCATGTCCTTTTAGAGAGATTCTATTATTTTTCATGTCCTTTTAAGTTATCATATTATATTTACGCGCATGTATCAATCATGATTAAAAGAAGTTAGGACTGGTTGCATGTAGGCAAACCAGAGGATCATTGATGCTGTATCGACACGTTTAGAGGTCCCATCAGAACGTGTTTTATCAAATTTGGCGAACTATGGTAATACAAGTGCTGCATCTATTCCATTGGCATTGGACGAAGCTGTAAGAAGTGGGAAGGTTCAGGCAGGCCATACAATTGCAGCTGCTGGATTTGGAGCCGGGCTTACGTGGGGCTCTGCAATCGTTAGATGGGGATGAGACCTCTCGATTAACCATTCTGAAGGTTTTAAATTCTGATTTCATTTCTGTATCCAGTTAGTAGGGAATGCAATGGCATAATCTCTTTCAGCTCCCCTTTCTTTATTTTAGCCTTGCTACTATTGAAATTCAGCAACATGAATAAATTGTATTGTCCAATTTTGTCATCTTCAACTTTCTGTATTCTTTTTTCTCGAATCAATGTTATGTTGGGTAGTATCTAGTTATGGATGTTGTTTTTGGCTTAATCAGTTGTACCTTGTTAGCTCACTGTTGTCAGGTAAAAAGTAGCATTTACATCCTTGTTTTTTTTTTTTTTTGGAAGCACTTAGGTCCCTAATGGATGTTGTACCATTGCTTTAGTTAACCCAGTTAACATTTCGTTAAACAAACAAATTTCATCTTCCATGTGTATATATAGTCAACATTTTGCACTTTGATCCTCAACCATTGAAAAGTATCATTTACATCCTCATTCTTTTATTTTTTGAGTACAGGTCCCTGATGGATGATTTTACATTTGCTATAACATTTTGTAAAAAATCAACAAACTAGTCGAAGTAGCTGATTGCTATTATAATAACACTCGCACTTATTGATTAAATTATAATTAATTTAAAACTATTTATGACGCAATTTAAATGGTAAGATTTGATAAAAATCTCGTTTCACTAAAAATGAGAACAATAATCATAATTTAAGGGATATAATAGGTTCTAGTGGGCATTGGCTGATTCAAATCGGATATTTCAAGTACCGAATCTACCTATTAAATTTCGAGTAGTTTGTAAATGAAATCATTAAATCCCATGTAATTTTTGGAATCGAACCGCTATCGACAGTTTCGGTTTGAGAGTTTTGATTTCGATTAAAATGTCCACCCTAATGATATTAGAGATTTAAAAAATTTAAATCAATAATTGAATTTGTCTAAATCATAACAAAATGGTCGGGTTTTAATATTAATATTATCAAATGAGTTACTATCTTTTGAAGACAAGTTAGAGTAAAATATCACACCACTTAATTATAAAAACAATAATCAACCTAAAAGAATTTGGATGATTACTTTTAACTAAGTACCTGAGAGTTAATTTACTAGAATATAAAGATATATTTTTTGGGATTTATGTAGCCTTCTTTTTTGAAGGCTATAGTTAGCGCAGATGATAATAGCTTGACATTATTTTCCCATCGAATGTACTATTTTCAAATCGAAAAAAAAAAAGGGATAAGATTAATGCTAAGCTTGTCCTAATAGAAGGAATCTCTATTTTTGAATTATACTCCACAGACAACTTGTTGATTGGATAATATGTTTTAATATCGTTCTGATATGGTTTCAACTTGTTATCGAATTTATCTTTGTAACTTTTTTATTTATTCAAAAGGCGCGTGTTGATCTCTCTGGTCTCGCTCCCTTCCCTTCCTGCACTATTCCTCCCCCCACTAAAAAGAGCCGTTGAGAATCTTAAGAGCCTTTTGAACATCTGTCTTCGTGAGCGATTGTTCTAAATTTGATTTCAATTAAGATAACATGATTGAATGCTACATCAAAAATCGATGGCGTGAAATAAGTACAACTTGAACGAAATAAAAGATAACCACCGTCACAAGTGATGGAATTCTATAGAGTTGCTCGGTTGAAATCAAATTAAAGTATGGTTACTTATTGAACAAAAGTAAAATGAATTTACTTGATTAACACTAGAGTAGGTAGTATAGCTACCGCGAATAAAATTTACCCCAATAGAATTCAAATAAGACATATTTCTCTAGCATGAGACGTTACATATTTTTCTGGAAGATCTAAGCTAAATAGAACATGATCTTATGTAAAATAAGTAACAATTGAATGAACTGTCTGACATCTTAGTTTTGTAGTAAACTTGTCCAGATTTCTTGATTTGGCCTCTTTTTATAGTTGATCCAATGAACACCACTTCAATGGCAGATTTCATATGCTTGAATGGGCGAACCTAAACCCATTCCTCTTGTTTAGTCATTATGATATCCTATTCAATCTTATCATAGCTCTAGCCATGGTATCTCCCAACTATTCAGTATTGGCACAATTCAACTTTGACGGGATTATCAGAGGAATGCTTTATTGTATTCGTAATTTTTACTTTCATATCTGAAGATGAGCTTGTGGCTTATAAGCAAAGGAATTTTTGAGCAATAAAGAAGTTAACCTTTCAATCTTGTGGCACAAAATTTCCTAATAGACAGGCCGTTCCACGTAACTTTTGAAAAGTTGAAATAAGTTTTTGAGATTCAAAAGTAGATTTTGAACTCATTTGACTAATTTTATTAAAGCGTTTTTTCTAATTAGAAGAGTTTTTAAAGGAAGTTGGTTTAATGTAACATCCTCTAAAAGCACCTCTGGAATAGAAAGTATTTTTAAAAATTAGTTTTTAAACAAAAATTAAGATAGCTTCATCAAAACACTCTTTTATAGAAAGCAAAAACAAAAGTCAAACCAAACAGGCCCGTAGTATCGTTCAATCTTGAACCTCACAACTCGCCTTTAAAGGGTAAAATGGGAAATCCACTCTGGCAATAAGAAATTTGTTCTAGGGCATTATCACTAGCCTTTGGGTCACAAAATTGTAATGCTGGACTACAGTATGTTGGACCCAAAAAAGAAACTAGGGTAGCATGCCATTTCTGTCAATCCATTAACAAGGGAAGGGAATCAAGTTGGGACTTTCAAACAAGCACACAACCAGAACTGTAATTCAAACTATATAGAACATACCAGAGCCTTCAATAATGGCAGAAGAAACTTAAAGCAGCCTGCCCCAGGCCCACCCCCGCCCACCAGGGAAAGGAGGAAGTGCCGGAGTCGAGATGACTTTGTAGAATGACATTTGTTCATGTACTGTGACAATATAACAGTTGAATAAAGCTCAACCAATCCCTGAAATAATATTCCATAACAGGTAATAATCGCGTCAGAAGAATTTTACCGCGGTAGCAGAAATCCTCAATCTTATACAAGGCGTCTTGAACATTGATTACACTTAGGTATGCCCACCAAAAAAAAAGGTAGTAGATTAAGCAATAAAGCATTTGACAGTTCTACTAAAGGGTCCCCTTTTCATCCAAGTAAAGAAAATATATAGAGGACAAGACGGTAAAAAAGGTCTTGAACAGAGGTTGCCATCGCACTCTAGCCCCATATAGCAGTAGGGGGCACCTGCAGCAACAGAACAACAGGCTCTGAGATCTAGATAAAGACGTACATTCACGATAAGAAAAGCCAACAGATTATTGAAATTAACACAGTTATTTTCCCAAGGACAGGAAATTCAGAAAGAAAAAAACAACAGCAGAAATTCCGTATACATCAGGCTCGAGTAAAGATCAAAATTTACGTGGCACATTAATTACAATGAATGTAATCTCTTAGTTTATAACTTCAGTGTCTGAACTCTGAAACCTTCTAAATTTCCACCAAATGCAACATATACTACGAACTTGATGTTTATGTGAAGGCTACATAGATGAGGTTAGAAAAATACCTGTACATGATAAAATGGGCATATCAGGTTTTCAGCCGCCCAGGACTCTCCGAGGATCAAGCTGCCCACTGCAATAACTTGAAGGCACAGCAGAAAGTTCCTGCCTTCCTCTCCACTCCTCACCAGGCTTCAAAGTGATAGGTTTTTCCACTGCAGCAGCCTCAACACACAGCATGTGCTTGTATTCATCATCTCCAAAATCAGCCATTGCCCTTGCCTTCTTATCCCAAGGATTCCATACAACTAAAAGTGAAATACAGAAGCTCAATAGAAACTCAGGAACATCCAGGTGAAAATCAAGAAAACTACAGTAGGTGCGGACTGATCATAAAGGGTTTTGCTACTTGCACACCGGGGTGTCAGTTGACACCCCGGAATACAGCCCCCCTCACGATAGGGGGGGGCCCATGATTTTTTTATTGCGTGTGGGCCCTACCCAGTGTTCAAATAGCAAAACCTGATCATAAACTAGGTAAATCGCCAACTCTTGAAATAAGAGAAACAAATAATAACTTTAAGCACAGTAGGAAAATTGATTTTTCTAATTTTTTTTCTTGATTATAGACAGAAATAGGATATTATATATTTATTATTATTGTTGTTTGTAAAATAATTAAGTAGGAAAATTTTTATACTGATTCCCTTACAACCAAAGTCGTAATGTGGCATTCACGAGACAGAGTCCCTTGATCTACAAGTCAAATGCTGGCCTTTCCCCCTTACTCTTACAGCAGGGTTAAAGTACAAATCCCAAACCTTTATTCCTCCTATCCACTTCATCTATTTTTCAGCCTATCTCTGCCCATGGTTACCTCTGCCTATCGGGTTAGGGGCTTCATCCACAAATCTTTTCAAGGTTCGGGAACATTTCACATAAAGAAACTAATTTGACACAACGAGTTATATCCCCGGTAATATATATCGGCTGCTGAAACAAAAGCACCTAGTGCCGTAAGAAAAGTCTGAATAGAACTGTAGGCTCCAAAACAAATGAGAAGAGATACTGAAATCTTACCTGCATCAGGAAGCCCATCTTTACGGATCACAAATGTCCGTTTCTTTTCATGATCTAGAATTGCAATCTTTGTGGGCGTGCTGAGGTATATTTTGTCCACCTACAGGGCATAGATTAGACTAGTGAGCACTCGAGGTATTATAGCCTACACGAACAAAAAATGAGAGGAAAAGCACCATTGATCTACAAAACTTACTTCTGATTCGAAAGTGATTGCATCCCCCTGTTCAGTGAAGCGTTGCTTGTTCTGCAGATTATCAAGATAATCTAGAGTTTCCAATCCTTCGACACGTACTTCACTGAATAAAAAGAAAATGACATAATTAAGAGATAGCAGGAAATAGATATTAAGCTCAATTATGAAATATTATACATGGGTTTGCATTGAAACAAAATTTTGTATTGTCTATCAGTATACAATAGATGGTCAAGATAACCATGAAGCTTCTTATACTTCTCATACATCATATATAGGACTCATACATCAATGGAAAATATAAAATCACATAACTCGAGAAGCTCGACATTATTTTGGCATGAAAAGAATCACCTTTATACTATACATCTAAGAAGTAGCAATCCTTCCAAGCGAGAAGCATTAAAATTAGATCTCCGATTATTAGCAAGGTGCTATCAACATCGGAGACAGGAAAAAGCTAAAAAGCACGGATAGTTGTAAACTCATTACGTACCATCATTCGATACGTATCCAAGCTCGGATACACTTGGACACTCTTCAATATGTGCTGCTGGATATTTGTTTTTTAATTATTTTATGTTTTATATATTTTAAAATTTTCAATACATATCGGATACCTTAGGACACGTAAAGAAGAAGAATTTTACTGATTTTAAATTATTATAAAAATTATACTATTATTGGCAATAGATGACAATTTTTTAAATTTAATAGATAGCTATTGTTATTATCAATCACTTATTGAAAATAGATAATATTTATAAATTAACAAGGAGCACCTACTCTTTTGTGTACTTTGTGCACTTTATGAGCGTGAATAAAATAACTACATCACATTCACAGTACATCTTATGCTCATTGTTTATGCTAAATCTATTTATCATCTCAGACAGAAAAAATACGCACAATTAGAGCACGTCAACTTCATGATATACCTGATATCTGAAACAGAGAAATAGGTGTGATATGCAAATGTAAATGTAAAAGGCTTTCCATCAGTGTTGGTATTCCTGATACGAGAAGTCAACATAAGATCTCCAGAAGGTCCCAAAGTTACCCGTAAGCGGAACTCAAAACTGACAAAAAGCAAGATAAGAATCGAAATAATAATCTCAGCAAAAAACCAGATTGGTAAGGATCCCACAAATAAAAAGACCTCAAATATCTACCTATGAGGCCAGATTTTCATGTCCTCTTCGGTGGGTTTGAGAATCAAGTCAACAAACGTCTTAGTGGAGGAGTTGGTTGGAAATGGAGGGGGATTAGTGTCAATGCTCCAAAACCTGTTTCTAGCAAATCCATGCTGCTCAAGAGAGCCATGGTTGGAGAACTGCAGATAGAAGTTTCATCTCATCAAGACCAAAGAATAACACATGCAAGAGGAATAGAAAGAGGTTGTGGACATACTTGTGGAAAGCATATAGGGATCCCTCCACGAATTGGTTTTGGAGGTTTGAAAATGGCCTGCAAAATATGAATAATGCCACTTCTTAAACTAAAATTGACGCTATAAACATGACTTTGATCCAAAATCCTTCATTCAACAGAAGATAAATACTGTAGTAGGTCCATCTTTGCCCAAGAGATTGAGGACCAAATGATTGTATTGCCTCAATGAAATTCCGAGTCATCAAAGAGATTAAAAATTGGAATGAAAGATGTATTACAACTGGCCAGCAATAAAAACTGGATGGAGGAAAGATTGAGGACTGCGTAACATCTTGCAGTTGTACAATGTCATAGCATTGCAAGAATGGACAACTAATAAGAATACCATGTGAAATCATTCCCTCATAGTGAGTGAATAATTTACACTATTACAGTAAGAAAGCTCAACATTCTACAATAAAATCAGATTCTAAATCCATTGGCAAGTACTACACAAACAACAATTTAATGGTTGGGTGTGCAATCTGTAACTAAACATTGTTTATAAGTCAGAGAAATACCTTACTACTCACAAAAAGCAACTCCTCCCCATGATCATTCTTCCATGATGTTATGTGTCCTCCATAAAGATAAACCTGTAAATGAGGTTAATATTATAAAGATCGCGTCTTTATAAACATTTGCAAAGTGCATTTAGAACAAAAATTTTGATTCTAGAATACTTCGTCTCAGAAATAAATCTAGAATAGCATTTAAGTAATCACCCAAACACATCTGCACACAGAAGAGAGGCAATTCAAGGGCTCGCTTGGGAGAGATTATACCAAATAAAGAAATCTTCTCAGTAAGAAAGTTTTCAGGTAATGTGGAAAACCACAGATGAGACATCTTGTTAAATTTACTTAAGACAATATTAGTAGAAAACTGAAGAGTTGTTATAGATTAGCGATAATCCGTATTACAGCGAGAGACTAATAACGAAAAATAGAAAAATGAAAGCAAGAAAAACACATTAATTAAGGTGCTTCACTCTTGCAACTGTATATCAGTATTACAATGTCTATTGGACTTATTCCTCTCTATTTTCTCTCTACTATGATACACATAAAGGAGACTCGCCCTAATATCCTGTACATATGAAGAAAAATATGAGAGTAACCTAATACATGTTAGAATCTCCTAATGTACCCTATTACACACAAAAAGTATGCTCGTCCCCAAATCCACCGTCGACCTTACCGCAGACAAGGGGAAAAGTGTATAACACATTAGGCTCCACTAAACCAAGAATAGTATGAACTAAGGAGAATCACACTATTTCCCAACATTATTTTCCTTATTTTATTATAAAATAGTGCTCAATGTATTTTAACCTGTTTGACATGGACATCCAACTTTAGAAGGGACAGTTATACAACCTATCTAACAAATCAAACATCTTAGATATTTATCTCGATGCAAATATTGGACAATGTGAGATGAACCCTTGTCGGGTGTCTAAGGGTAGATACTTCAAAGCATTTAGAAGTCTGTAACTATTTTAGGTAATAGCTAACACAAATGGCTCATAGGAATGTATATCAATGATAATCAAAACAAAAAATCAATAACAATATGGGATGGATTATGCCATTCAAACTTCAATCGACTAACAACACTGAACTTCAAAAAGGAAAAATTAAAAGTACACCTAAATGTCTTAAGCATTCTCCTGCTCTATAACACTGCCAAATACATTGCCAATCCAAAAAGGAGCTACTGTACATGGACTAAAGCACAAAGCTCAACAATGATGCTGCAGCACTTTGTTCTGTACTTCTTGTGGCTCTTGCATTATCAAAAGAGCCTCAAATTTACAAACAAATGTCTGATTAAAACGAATGATTCCTCAGTTGATTAAAGAGCATATCTGTATCCAAATTAGCAGCAACAGGAAAACGCACATACATATCTGTGTAAATACGCATGTATAGAGATCCGATTTAATTACACAGCGCAGATCAAACGATATAAAAAATGAGATCAATAAAATTCAATAGCTCTTCACATCATTTCTATTTTTCCAAGAAATGCAGATTAAAACTCAACAAAATAAAATATCACACTCGAGAAGGTGAACCAAGATACGGCGTCGTTTATATTGTTATACCTCAGCGGAGCTTCCCCGGACTTCTCGAAGGACAACCTTCTCGAGGCCATTCATTCCCTTACAGATCTCAACCGGAAACCTCTCGATCGCTGCCGTTACCGCCGCCGTCGATGACGTCATGTGACGTTACTAGTCGACAACTATCTGTATCTATATATGTATACGTATTTTGTCGGCCGCGGTTATTTCTGACGCATTCGAATTATGCAAACTCGAGAAGAATTTCAGTTTCAAGATTTTCCAACGATTGAATTTTTACTATCAGATTTTGGTACAGAGCGTGAAAAGTGAGTGATTTCACACGTTTTCTGTGGGTTTCAGTTTTTTGGTGAATGCTGTCTGTGAATCCGTTTTACCAGAGAATGTACCACACAATCTGTTTTATAGAGCAATTGAGGTAATTTTTCATAATGTATTTCATTATTTGCACTGTATTTTAATTGCCTTAAAAGCTTTCAAATTTTTTGTATTGTAATACTACTTATTTTCCATATTTATTTAATTAGTAAATTGCATCTCTATTATCGATTTTGTCTATAAAGTTCATTGGAAAGGTGTAATGACTTATTCGTCCATCATATTTTTTACAAAAATAGTACATGTTGACGCAAAACTCCGACAAAGGGAAAAAAAGTTGCGACATAAATGTTATAGTGAGAAAGATTGAAGGCCTTATGTGCAATTAATAAAATTTGTTGTGTGAATTTAATTTTACATTAATTAATTCTATAATTTTGAAAGTACAAAAATATAGAGTTAATTATCTCAATAATCACTAAACTTATGTTTGTACATTCGATTGCTCACTAAAATTTCAGATATCGAGCTTTGATCATTAAACTAATCAACATGTTGGACGTTACTCACGACATGACATTTGTTTCACAACTTTGACAAAATTGATTACATGACAGATGGAATATACAGGTAACGTCCAAACACCCTTATACAAATTGCCACAGAAGAAAGATGTCTTTAATTGCTCACTATACTTTGAAAGACGTCTTTGATTGTTCATAATACTTCAAGGTGATCAAGTTTAGACCCGCTTGCTACGAAAACTACTCAATTTGATGAACAGCTCTTCTTTATGGTCAACTATGAATGTTCTTCCAATCAAAGCTCCTAAATGGGTGGGTAAACAAAAGGGATTGACGAAAAAAAAAACAAAGAAAGATGAAGAGAGAATGAACTTTTTTTTTTTTCAATTAATGACAAAATTTTGGTGAATTGGAGGTGTCTACTCCATGTTATTTTGATTGATGACAGAATTATGGTAGACTTTTTTTCTAATGTAATTGAACCCTACTACAATTACAGGGAAAAACTTCACAGAATTTTTCCAGACAAGACACAAACATGTGAGGTCCACTTTTTTAATAATATTTAATTCATGTGTGGCCCACATACCATGGAGGATAATTCAATGTAATTAGTAGCTGCAAATGTTTTCACTGATGCACATAATTACGGTGGATGTTTTGGATAGTTTTTAATGTATGTTTTTGGCTGCACAGAAATATTGGTTGCAAACGATACATGTTGGCTTGCTATTAATGTAGATTATGAATTTTTTGGGTGAACGTTATACATATTTTTGTTAAAATTAGACATAAAAAATTTGTCAATGTTTTCTTGCCATTTTGTTTTATCCTCCCTTTTCATCTTGCTATTTTTTATTAGTAGAGTAGAATAGGGATTGCAATTGGGTGGGGCGGGGCCTCCCGTCCCCGCCCCCGCCCGGTCACCCGTTTAAGGCGGAGCAGGGGCAGGGGTAGGTCATTTTCCCGTTTATTCCTTGTTTAATTTTTTTTCTTTTAGTTTTTGATAATTTATTTTTATTGTCCATATTCATTAAATTTAGACAAATAATTTTAGTTGCTATTTTCTATTAGAACTAATGAAAATTTTCATTTAAAATATTGAATTCTAACGGGTCGGGAATGGGGCCCCGTTACCCTTCCCCACCCGGTTACCCGTTTAAGCGGGTTTTTCCCGTCCCGTTCGGGGCAGGGCCCCGCGAGTATCGAGTTTGTTGGATTCTTTTGACATCCCTAGAGCAGAAGTTGATCAATATTTATCTGACAAATTGCAGATTTTTCAAGTTAACTTCAACCAGTATGATGCATAAAGGTGATCACAATTGTTTTAGAGAGATCAAGCATCAAGATGTCTAGGCTTTAATATGGATGAATGTGTGTTTATTTAGAATCGAAATTTCGTAAGTTCTAGCTCCTATCTTTGGTTTTCTCTTAAAAGACCTAGCTTTCGAATATTGAAAAAATATGGAAAGAAAGTATATTGTAAAATATCTTGAAATATTCCCATGTAATATGTTGCAAAATTAACTTTTTTTTTTGTATGTAGGTGATTCTTGGAACAAAGTCCCTAAATTTTCAGGACGAGTCAACGTAAATTTTACAAGTTTAGTTATCAAAACTCAACCACCATAAAGTATAGTGAATAATAAAAAATGTCTTTAAAAGTATAGTGAACAATTAATTAAGTCTTCCAAAGTATAGTGAGCAATCAAAAAAGCCTTTCTTACGTCGAAATTTGCGTAACGGTGTTTGAACGCCACCTGTGCATTCCATCTGCCATGTCGCAATTTCGTTGGAGTTGTGAAACACATGAAATGTCAATAAAACATCCGGCATTTTGATAAATTTAATAATCAAAACTCTTCATCTGAAATTTTAATGATAGTCAAAGATACAGACATAAGTTTAGTTATTATGGGGACAATTAACTTGAAAATATATTTTTGAAGAGATGGTAATGATTAAGTTAAATTCGATCTCAATGAGAACAAGATTGAATTGAATACCAATGAGAATTATTTGTGGTGCAATGATGGAAATGGACTTGGAACCGATTGTTCCCGTTCGATTTAATTATTTTTAGGGAGATTCTTCTTGGACAAGGCCACGTAGGCCCTGCCGATGTGGCACCCCCTATTTCAGGACAATTATTACCTTTGAATGCAATATCAAATTTTAGCCAATCGTGATTATCAGTTCTAATACCCAAAATCAGTTAAATTTTAGCCTTCATTTAAAAAAAAAATTTATAAATAGTCAGATTTCATTTTCAACCACATTCTAATGAATTCACGTGTACTAATAGGGGTAGGGAGGGGCATGGGTTGGGTTGGGCTGGGTCGATTTTTGTCTCAATCCAAACCCAACCCAACCCAACATGATCGATTTAATCATAATTTAACCAAACTCAACTCGTGTAAAAGTTCCAACCCAACCCAATCAAGTATCGGTCGGATTGGGTTGGTCGGGTTGGGATAACTTGTTAACAAAGACTAAAGTAGGCGGGTTGGGGTTGGATGAATTTATAATTGACTCGTGTCTCATATAATATTTGGTCTCCATAGTTGCATAGAACAAACAAAAAAATATGAATTATTTTGGAACTTTATGCTTGAAAATGTTATATGGACAAATTAATATAAAATTACATAATAAATCATTTTTCAGGCACTGACTCAAATTGAATATGTCACCCTTTACAATGGGTGCTATACTCGGTGAACAATCATTCATACGAAATCTCTCAAAAACTTTGTTGATATAGGTCTCTTGGGTTGGGTTGGTCGGTTGGGATAACTTGTCAACAAAGACTAAAGTAGGCGGGTCGGGTTGGACGGATTTATAATTGACTCATGACTTATATAATGTTCGGTCTTCATATTTGCAATGAATAAAAAATTCTGAATTATTTTGGCACTTCATGCCCGAAAATGTTACATGGACATATTGATATGATATTAAATTATATGAAGTCATATTTTTGGCATTTAAAATGTTTTTGTGTTGAATTTGTGTTTATTTATACTATTTTTCTTAAAATGCATTATATTCAAGTCTTATAATATTATTCTAAAAATTTTCAAATAACATCATAATACTTGTAAAGTTCATAAATATAATCGGATTGGATTGGACGGATTTATTCAATTTTTATGAGTCAACCCATAACGCGACCCAATCCAACCCGCATACACAACCAACCCATGTAAAAGCAACAAGAAAACCAACTCAAACAGGTCCGGTTGGTTTGATTTGGACGGTTTTAGCGGGTTTGATCGGATTTTGTCCACCCCTAGTTACTATCCACAACTTATTTTTATTTATTTATAAACTAAACAATATATAAATTCTTCCCAAATGGAGGCCTAATTGTAATTAAACAAAACTTATGAATGCGATCCGATTCCGATCCAGTTTGTATGGTCGCACGAAACAATGCACCGCCCTCTACAAGTAATGATCTTGATGCCATAGAAGCAAGTCAACTTGTGATTTCATTTGATGCTTTCTATTGTTCATTTCGCTAGAATTTTGTTGAACTCATTGACAATCTTTTTATATTTGTGCATGGTGTAGGTGATTTCAGGCTCTCTTAAAACAAACTTTGACATTTAATCTTTCGACGAGTGTTTTTGTGTCACAAGCATGTATCACATAGCCAGTCGGAAACTAAGATCTCACTCACAATCGCATAACAAACACTACTTAATATGTCAAAAGTCGAATATAAGATTAAGCATAAGATTAAATCCGCGAGCAAAGATTTAGAGTCGAAAAAATGGGTTACATGAGACGTAATTGTACTCTAAAAAGATCCAAAGATCATATAGAACTTTCTGTGGACACTTTGAGATACAAAAAAATAAAATAAAATAAACATATTAGGAACTACAGCCTGTGTGTCTCAACAGTTTCATCATGGTTTGATTTTGAAGCCTGTTCCATTTATGTAAGAATTGTTCGGATTCTTTAAACAGTGTAGTGCTGCTGGATAGTTTCAATATCCAGTCCTTTCAGCTTCACAACTGACTCGACATGACCCTTGAGTGTGTGCAGCTCCCGAAGCCTATAAAGATAACAAAAAGATGTTAAAGTTTTAAGTAAGTGTGGTGCTTAAAGAGTCAGTACAGTATTAACAAAGTTCGTTCGTACCTTGCAATCTCAGCTCGTCTCTTTGCCTGCTCTGCAATTTCAGAAAGCTCTCTGTAGCTACTCTTCTCGTTGAAAATATTAGTATTCTCCATTGTTTGGAGGCCGTGTAAGGTCCTCTGAGCAAGAGCCCACTGAGCTTCTCTCTCT